ATTATTTAGTCGGGAAAATGTAGCAATAAATAGAACTGTTTATCATCAAATATGCGATTCATTGTCTTATGAATCTGAGAATGAATTTATATTATCGTATACAAAAAATTCATTTTATTAAACTTTATCATTGGAAAATTATTTTTTTGTTTTAATTTCAGTATTATATTTTGGTCGTGAGTGGAATGTAGCTGTTTCTGAGAAGAGACAATTTAGTAAGAGCTATATTTCACTTACGACCAAAATTTAATACTGGAATTAAAACAAAAAAAATAATCTTCTAACGATAAAGTTTAATAAAATGAATTTTTTGTATGCGATAATATAAATTCATTCTCAGATTCATAAGAGAGCAGATTACTAGGTTCGCACCTTGATTTTATCGGTAAAAGATGAAATTACCGCCAATATATTGCCGGTATACCGCCGATGTTTTTGCAACTATCGGCAGTACCACCGGTTAACCGGCGGTAGAGCGCACATTATACCGTTCGGTCAACCGGCGGTATACCGCCGGTTTTTTTCCGGTTCTAATCACATGGGTCATTATGTTGTATCATCGACGGCAGTCATTGCGACATTTTCTTTGAGTTCATAACTAGTGCCCACTATATAGAGGTTGTTTATGCAAAAGGGACCGTGAAAAAGTGTCCACTATATGGAGGTTCAATTACAGCAAAAATCGTTTGGTCGAGTCCCAAAGTGTCCACTATAACGAGGTGTCCACTATCGAGGGGTGTCCACTATGGGAGGTTTTACTGTATCTGATTCTATTCATTGACAAAAGCAAAAGAAATACCGTATCAATACAAATGTATTAAGAAAAGAATTATCAGAGATAAAAGTATACATAATAGATGCAATATAAAACTGATTATTTCAAAAATTTTATCATTGATGTGTAAGTCGTAATACGAGAATATTATATTCAAATAAAATATTTACTCATTAAACTAATAATAACGCCTCCAAAAGAAAAAGCAACATGTTTCTTTTGTTCTTGATCTAGATAATAAATATGTGATCGTTGATAGGACAATAACTATCACGATCACAACTTCGAGTTTATATAATTTCACATCATAAGGTGAAATTGAAATATAATCGAAGAAAAAGCTTTCAGAAAGATTCTATTTCAACCCTAGATTTCAGTATCATTTTATGAATTTTGGGTGGTTGGATCGAAAAGTTTTTTGAGAAAAAAATATGTCATCAAAATTATGTTGAGTATGTTTGGATTTCAAAAGGTTCATGAAATGGGATCATAATTTTAAACTCTAAAATGCTCGTTGTAAAATCTTTCTTTCGATATTAGTATGATACATTTCAATCACAGGCAATGTTAATCAAGAACTTACTTCTTATTTCAACCTATAAGTTCTTCTTTTTAAATATGAGAGATTAGCTTACACAAGAAAGTACATAATAGAGAGAGAGAGATGCATAAAAAAAAAGGAAAGAGACAATTTGTTTTAATAGTTTGTTGACTTGTTACTTCAAATTGAGAAAAGAACGGAATAGCAGCATAAGAGAGAAAATGAAGATGTGATAAAAGTGCCATCTAATCTGATCATCGGAAGAAAAATGCTCTTGATACGACTACTTGATCAGAAACAAACAGGACAAGTAATAGTTCTTCGATACGAAATTATCAGCAATAAAATTTCGTAGTAAACTCATTAGCATGAAATAGAATACATTATGACAGAAGATTTCAGTTTACTGATTGATGAAGAGGTTAATATTAATGTCTTCTCATTATTTCAAACATATATATTATCACTAAGTTTATAGAAATAATCAATTACAATTAAGGGAAAATGTACAACAAGATTGAGTTATGGAGAAGCAATGTTTTTTTATGCTTAGCTTTAATCTTTTACATCGTTTTCGAACTCTTTATATTATGATAAAATCTCTTATGTGAATCTGCGAATGCCTGTCTCAATTCAACATAATGAGTCAAAATATTAGAAATAGCAGTGATCAAATGCTCTGAGAACTCAAGCAAATTAACAATTTCAAAACATCCAAGAATTCATGAAACCTAACAAGTTCTAAGAAGCCTTACCTTGCTGAGAGCTCACGAAGTTTTTAAACTTCGTAAAACTTAAACAAGTTCTAGATTTCTGTTAGTTTCCCAGAAGAGTAATCTGATATCTTTAGAAGTTACCTAGTTCATATTATAAAGATCTTTAAAGTTTCATGCTTTCTATAGAGTTGTCATGCATTTATTAGATGATAGAATAGTTGCACTGTCGAGACTGGCCACTACAATTAGTGAAAAAGATATCCATCAAATCGTCAGAATGCATATGAACAAGTTATGAGCAGAAATTCTACTTATCATCTACAGCAAAGTCTATATGAATTGCCAATATTTACCAGTACAACTGTCGTTCGGTTTATGCTGAAGGGTCAGATACCAACGAAGACAGCTACAGAGAATCTAATTTGATGTTAAAATGAAAGTATATTTAACAAACAAAGAAGAAATGATAGAATTAGTAAGCTGTTACTTTCTTTTTGTTGTCTTATATGAGTGTTCACCGTGCCCGATCATGTGAAAATTTCTGCCTTGGTAAGCTATTTTGAGAGTGGCTTAGAAAAGGTTACACTTCAATAAGCAGCTGTAAAAGATTTAATTTTACTCGCTGCAGATTTATGAAAGCCGCTTCATTAAAGCAATCCGCTTAAAAGAGCTTAGAAAATGGTTTTACAAGCATTTCGAAGTATTTATCATCGATATTATGTCAAAAGGCTGTTACTTTTATTATTACTAAGCACTATACTGCACTTAAACTGAAAATCCCTGAAAATTACTGCGTTTCTTCGTGTATTTAAGCATTACAATGTCTTATGATCTTTGATCGCGTGTGTTGTAGATAAGGACATTTCTTAACACAATAAGATTCGAAGCAATGTTTCATTGTAGACTTTTCTTGATATATGCTTATCAATGTTACATTATGGATTATATCACATATTTTAGTTTACTTTAACTCTAATGTTTATTTGCGATGAAAAACTCGTTCCATTCTTCATTGTCTACTTGATTATCGAGTGAATTATTTGCTACAACGTTGCTGTTGGCTTGTCTCTGTTTCATTGTTTGCTCACATATCTTACTAACGAACAACGATAGAGCAGAACAAAAGACAAATTCCTCAGTCGTTTGATGCAATGTTAGTGTAGTGACCACTCGAGAAAGAACTGAAAGAAACTGCTCTTGTGCGGAACAGCAATTGTGTGATTATTTTCCCGCATCTATGTATAAAGAGCAGTGAATAGTAATAGTTGTCTTTATTGCGAAATGTCTTTTTTATTATTTCTCTTATGATTGATTTCTATCATTTTTCCTAATTCAGTTGTTCATTTTTTTCATGTGTATGAACTAATTCTTTTGTTTGCTATTCATCAAAAGAGTGTATTTTTACTACTGTTTTGCGATTAAGTAGGTATAAAAAGTTTCTACTAATTGTCTATTGATAAACACCTTTTTGTTCTATATTTTGCTTTTGTAATGAACCACTGATCGTCTCACATAGGAAATGCACAATAAAAACCATGGTTTTTGATCGTAAGTTACATATCACGAGTTGAGACTCGTATTGATGGATTACTAACGGTGAGTTATACATTACAAGTATAAATTACCTGACTTTTTTTACATCGATGTGATACTAGCGGTGAGTTACAGGTAGTGAATGCAAAATGAACACTTCCTGTTTTATATTTAGATTTTTATCAGTAAAACACAAACTGCAAGTGGTATGAGAGAAGATTGATTACTTTCTTTTATGTTTCAGTTGTTTTCTTTCCACCGTTCTAAGCAGGTTATTTTTTTTTTGTGGAGACTTTTGATAAAGTTTTTATGATATTTTTCAAAGTGTCGAAATCTTTGCTTGGTATCGTGTCTTCAAGGTTGTCGTGAGCTCGGAAGCTTTTAATCCGTATTCAAGATTAGGATCTCAAAAATTACTATAACTGACTGTTTCTGGATTTTTAAGGGTACATTTTCTCTATAGAGTATGATTATAAACTTTTCGGTCCAGAAATTTTTTGAATGGTGTATGACAACTACAAAAACCCATGAAGAGTTTATGAAATGTTTTTAAAGTGCACGTATTGATTATTATACGTTTTTTTTACAGTATAATCCAGAAGACAGTTTACCTTTTCCTTCATTTATACGTACTTTATCATCATCATAGTAATCAATTGAGACAGACCGACTGTCATTGCTGGATTGATGTGTCTCGTCACTAAATTTAAAAAAATATTTCAATGTTCATGTTGAAGTTAAAGTGATCCTGTTACTTTAACTTTAAAATCAAGCTAATGTTAAAATATTTTTACATAAATTGTCTACTTTCTTACTTACCATTAATTCTTGATCGTTTTTAATTGCATCTAAAATCTATATAAATTATTTATCCACGAAATAAGTGAAAATAAAAGCAAATGTGCTGTACAAAAACCTTTTCCTATAATTTTGATATCAAATTAAAATGCCATATCTAATCCAATAAAGTCAATTTAGAACTTTATATTCTTTCTTTTTTGGAAAACAAAAGACAAAGAAAAACAATAGTATCATTTATTTGGATACACTAAAAAGCAAAAGGAAAATCGTTATAAGTGCCTCATCAAATGATATGGAAAACGAAATCAAATAGCGCCTTCATTTTTATCATATGAATCCCATTTAGAAGAATAGGTAATCAAGCACATTTTAGATCATTGATGCAGATATCAAAGGCCTCAAATAGACGATTGTTTTGTCAGATACAATAAATGAGTCCTCTCTATTCAATATATTTTCAAAAAGGATGAATAAGATCATAAAGGTGTTTAAACTGTGCTAATAGACAAAATAGAACTGAATTAAGTCTTCTTATTTCTTGTTTTGGCAATTCATTATTCATATATATTTTCAATTAATCAATGAATTTATTTCATTTTTTTCTATATTATTACATTAAAAGATCAATATACAATTAACCAAGACGATAACGAAACAGTACTGGGTGTTTTCCTGTTGATTGTCGTTCAGGTATTTCTTTTTTCATTTGTTCATTTTGATTACGTCGATTTATATGAAATTTATCAAGAAATTGTTGAATAAATTCAATACTAATGGGTTGGGAGAAACAAATTTTAGTTGAATCTTCATAGACTATATCAATTTTGTTGTCTTGTAAATAACCAACAAGATTTATAAGAAATGTATCAAAATCAGTTGATCGATATACAACATTTTCTAATTCATTTATATCTTCATTTGCTCGTTTACCTAGA